TCATTGTTGTTTGGCGGGTCCGGGCTGGGGATTCGAACCCGCCACCTTAGGTGTATGTGGCTGGCGCCTTAGCCACTTGAGCCACAGGAGCTGAGCCAGTACCAGATATTTTTTAACACAAGATTGTTAAGATTTACTCCTGTGTGTTCTTCAATGAATCTTATTGTTTTAGTTCTTACTTTAAGATCTGTGATCCATTTTGAGTTAATTTTTATGTATGCTGTAAAGAAGTGGTTCATCTTCATTCTTTTGAATGTGGATATCCAGTCATTCCAGCACCATTTGTTGAAAAGACTATTCTTTCCTCATTGAATTGTTTTGTCACCCTTTTTGAAAATCAATGGAGTGTAAATGTGAGGATTTATTTATGCACTCTCAATTATATTTCTTTGATCTGTATATCCCCTCTTGTGCCAGAATCACAATATTTTGATTACTATTGCTTTGTTGTAGGTTTTGAAATTGGGAAGAATGAGATTTCCAACTTTGTTCTTCTTGAAGAATGTTTTGCTCTATGAATCTGTTGCATTTCCATATAAATTTTATGATTCGCGCGTTAATTTCTGGCAAAAAAAAAAAAAAAGCCAGCTGTCATTTTGATAGGTATTTCCAAATCTATAGATCAAATTGGAAAATACTGCCATCTTAACATTTCCTTTTGATGAATATGGGATGTCTTTCCATTTATTTATATCATCTTTAACTTTTTTTCAACAGTGCTTTATGGTTTTTAGTGTATAAACTGTGCCATAAACATTTTATGTTTGACTCTGCTGACCTACTGAAATTATATTAACAAAATCTTAAAGCCTAGGATTTTATTGCAATCACATTGTTTCTACCTTTAATAGTTAAATTTTGTATATATTTTTTAAAATTTTTAATTTTTTCATTAGGAATCTGACTATGAGGAATTTTCATCTGTTATGACATATGAGAAAGAGAGAGAAGATTTGTTTGGGAATAACCAGCAGGATATTCTTTCTGAAGACAAAGACAAGCCTTTCAGCAGAGTTCAGGTGAAGCAATAAGAAAAAGTAAACTCATTGATATTTGGACAAGGGATTGCTGGTACGGTTGTACTGGTTTAGGATTGTAGGTTTAGGTTTTGTTAAATTAGTTAAAGACTATAATTTCCCATTTTATTCTAGGAATTTGCTTGACTGCCATATCATTTAAGATTATTTTAGGAATCTTGCAGAAAACCTAGAGTATTGCTGCTAGCTAACATTCTGTATTTGGTGTTTATGTTCACTTTTAGAAAGTAACATTCAAAAATCCATTATTTGTTGTGATGGACAAGGAAGAGCAGAAGCAGTTACATCTTCAGGGCTTTCAGGATATTCTGCCAGAAGCCCAGGATTATCTTCCAGAAGCCCAACAGGATTTGCTGGAACCCAAGGGTAATTTGACAGAAGTTCAGACTATTGAGCTGGAAGTTCAGAGTTTTGAGCCAGATACCCAGGCTGTTGAGCCAGAATTCAAGATTGTTAAGCCAGAAGCTCAAGCCATTGGCCCAGAAGGCCAGTCTGTTAAGACAGAAACTCGGGATGTTATGCTGAAAGCCCAGCATATTGAGCTAGAAGATGGGACTATTGTGTTGGAAGCTCAGGATTCTTTATCTGCAAACCAGACTTTTCTACCTGAAGACCACCATGTTCTGCTTAAAGACCAGAACATTCTACCCAAATGTCAGGATCAAGATTTTCTATCTAAAGACCAAGAATTTCTACCAGGAGACTTTTATGTTCTCAAAGACCAGAATAGTCTTCCCAAATATCAGAACCAGAATTTTCTACCTACAGATCAGAATTTTCTCCCCAGAGACCAGAAGATTCCACCCAACTACGAGGATCAGGATTTTCTATCCAGAGACCAGTGTGTTCTAACCAAAGAGCAAAATATTTTACCTAAATGTGAAGAACAGGATTTTCTACCTAAAGACCAGTGTGCACTCCCTAAAGACCAGCATGTTCTTTCGAAAGATCAGAATATCCTTCCCACAGATGAGGACCAGGAGTTTCTCCCTAAAGACCAGTATGCTTTTCCTGAAGACCAGTATGTTCTCCCTAAAGACCAGCATGTTCTTTCCAAACATGAGAATATTCTTCTCAAAGATCATGACCAGTATTTTCTACATAATGACCAGTCTGTTTTCCGCCCAGACCAGTGTGTTTTCCCCAAAGATCAGAATATTCTACCACAATTTCAGGACCAGGAGTTTCTAACTAAAGATCAGGTAAAATAGAGTGGGAAGGAGATGTAATAAGAAAATATCTCCTACGTAAAGAGTAGCTTGTAAGCTACTTGGGGTTTGGAGTGGGATTTGTAAGGACCACAGATACATCATGGAGATACTGTGGGGGTTTAGTCGCAGACCACTGCAGTAAAGCCCATATTGTAATAAAGTGATTCACTTGAATTTTTTGATTTCCCAGTGCATATAAAAGTTATATTTATACATTACTGTGGTCTCTTAAGTGTTCAATAGCATTATGTCTAAGAAAGCAATGTACATACCTTGATTTAAATATACTTTCTTGCTAAAAATACTTAAGATCATGTGAGTCATAATCTATTTGCTGGTGGAAGGTCTTGCCTTTGATGACGGCCGTGTAGTGGAAGCTGACAGTTGGGGTGGCTATGGCATTTTTTAAAAATAAGAGAACAATGAAGTTTGCCGTATCAGTTGACCCTTGCATTTGTGGAAGGTTTATCTGTAGCTCATGTTTGAAACCATTTTACCCACAATAGAACTTCTTTAAAAATTGGAGTTAATTATCTCAAAGCCTGCTGCTGCTTTGCTTTAACTAATTTATATCTTATTGTAAATCCTTTGTTGTCATTTCAATAGTGTTCACAGCATCTTCATTAAGAATAGTTTCCATCTTAAAAAATCACTCTTTTTGCTAACTCTTTATGTGTTAAAATTGGATCATGAGATTGCAGCAGTTCAGTCCCATCTTCAGGTTCCACTTCTAATTCTAGTTCTCTTGCTGTTTCTGCCACATCTGCAATGATTTCCTCCACTAAAGTCTTGAACCCCTCAAAGTCATCCGTGAGAATTGAAATCAGCTTCTTCTAAATGCCTGCTACTGTTGGTATTTTGACTTCCTCCCATGAATCATTTATATCTTAATGGATATTAAACAGTGAATCCTTTCCAGAAGATTTCCAATTTAGTTTGCCCAAATCCATCAGAGAAATCACTCTCTATGGCAGATATAACCATACAGAATGTATTTCTTAAACAATAAGACTTGAAAGTTGAAAGTACTCCTTGATCCATGGGCTGTAGAATGGATGTTGTGTTAGCAGGCATGAAAACAGCATTAATTTCCTTCTGTATCTCCATCAGAGTTTCTGGGTAACTGGGTACATTGTCAGTGAACAGCACTATTTTGAAAGGAATTTTTCTTTCTGAGTAGTAGATCTCAATAGTGAGTTTTGAATATTTTGTAAACCATGCTTTTAACAGATGTGCTGTCATCCAGGCTTTGTTGTAACATTCCTAGAACACAGACAGAGGAGATTTAGCATCATTTTTAAGGGCCCTAGGATTTTTGGAATGGTAAGTGAGCACTGGCTATAACTGAAAGTCCTAACAAAGTCAGTCTGCCCTTTGAAACCAGACATTGATTTTTTCCTTTCTAGCTATGAAGTCCCACGTGGCATTTTCTTCCAATATAAGCTGTTTTGTTTCCACTGAAAATCTGTTGTCCTTTAGTGTCATCTTCATCAGTGGTCTTCACCAGGTCTGGGTAACCTGCTGCAGCGTGTACATTAGCACTTGCTACTTCACCTTTGGTTTTATGTTACAAAGATGGTTTCTTTCCTTAAACTTTATCAGTCAACCTCTGCTACCTTCACACTTTTCTTTAGCTTTCTTACCTCTCTGAGCTGTCATAGATTGAACAGAGTTAGGGCTTTCCTCTGGATTAGGCTTTGGCTTAAGGGAATGTTGTAGCTGGTTTGGTCTCCAGTCCAGACCTTTCTCCACATCCTCAATAAGGCTGTTTCACTTTCTTATCATTTATGTGTTCACTGTAAATTCCCTTCAATAACTTTTTGTGTTCACATCTTGGCTAATTGTTTGGCATGAGATGCCTGATTTTCAGCCTATCTCAGCTTTCAACATACTCCTTCACTATGCTTAATCATTTCTAGCTTTTGATTTAAAATGGGAGATAGGCAGGTCTTTCTTTCCCTTGAACAGTTAGGAGTCACTGTAGTGTTATTAACTGGCCTAATTTCAGTGTTGTTGTGCCTCAGGGAATAAATAGGATGGCCTGGGGAAGGAATCAGCCAGGTGGTGGAGCAATCAAGATACAATTAACATTTACCAATTAAGTTCACGGTCCTGACGGTCCTGACGTGACAGTGTGGTTTGTGGCACTCCAAAACAATTAGAATGGTAACATCAAAGATCACTGATCACAGATCACCATAACAGATATAATAATAATGAAAAGTTTGAAATATTGTCAGAAGTACCAAAATGTGACTCAAAGACATGAATGAGCACAACTGTTAGGAAAACGGCGCAAATAGACTTGCTTGACATAAGGTTGCCACAAACCTTCAATTTGTGAAAAAGGCAGTTATCTGTAATGTGCAGTCAAGCGATGCCCAATGAGATGAAGTATGCCTATGTGTGTATTGTAGCTGGTGTGGAAATCCACAGTTGGGAAAAAAAATAGTTTCCTGATTAAATTTTCAAAACTCCAGGGTTCTGACTAAGTGTTAAAGTATTAGCAGCATTTCAGTCCTCTGAAAAACTTACATTTTTCTTTTTAATCTTCTCCATAGGAAAAATATTTCTGGCAGCCAGCATCTACTTTGACAGCTGAAAAATGGAAAAAGGAGTGGCCCGTAAGTCCCCAACAGTATCTTTTACACAGGTGCCCAGGCCAGTCCTCCTCTAGCCATCAGTCAGACCAAAAGGAAGAGGAAAGGCAGGAAGTAAGTTACTTAGGGTTATGGTTGGACTTTGTGGAGTGGAGTATAGTTTTTTGTTTTATTTTACAAGATGCCCGATTGTACTGTGATCTCTGTCAATTCCAGAATTCTCACAAAAACTTAAAGTCTTAGTTAACCTGTCATTCTTAACTGAACAATTGGTATTTTGTGTTTGTTCCTTTTTAGAAAGCAAATTTGAAGCAGCCAACTTCAATTTTGACAGGGAGAGAGGCTCTTCCTCCAGATGTCCATCAGGATCTTCTGTGCAGGCTTCATCAGGTCTTCATCAGGGACAAGGTAGAACAGAAGGGACAGGAACCTGCAGGAACTAAATTATTTGGGGTTTAGTTTGAAGCTTACAAAACTTCTCAACTAAACTTCAGAACTCACAAAAAATAATGATTTTGTTTTATTCTGTTACTTTTCACATTATCCTGAGTTTTAAAAAAATTACCCTGTGGCTTTCAGTAAAGCCTAGAATATTATTGTCATTGCATTACTTCTACTTGGCAATTTATATTTTTTTCTCTTTTAGAAAGTACGCTTTAAGGAGCCATGCTCTGATATGACAGATGAGAAAGGGAGAGATGACTTTTCTCTGGTGGGTTACCAGTATGTGCCTTCTAAACCCCAGGATCAGGACTTCATCAGAGATCAGGTGGAGCAGAATAAAAAGGAGATAAAGAAACAAGAAATAAAGTTACCTGGGTTTTATAAATTCTCAATAGCTGATAACTTGAAGTATAGAACCAGGGACTTTGGAGCTACTTAAGAATATAGCATCTTGGCTTGGTGTCCGCAGCTCAGTGAGTAGGGCGCTGGCCACATACACTGAAGCTGGCAGGTTCGAGGCCGCCTCGGGCCTACTAAACAACAATGACAACTGCAACCAAAATATAGATGGGTGTTGTAGCAGGTGCATGTAGTCCCAGCTAGTCGGGAGACTGAGGCAAGAGAATCGCTTAAGCCCAGGAGCTTGAGGTTACTATGAGCTGTGATGCCATGGGACTCTACTGAGGGTGACACAGTGAGACTCTGTCTCAAAAAAAAAAAAAAAAAAAAAAAAAAAGAATATGGCATCTCTATTCTTTTCCATGTTAATAGGAAAATAGTCCTCCTGAATTCTATTAGAACAGAGGTCCCGCTTCTGAAAGAATGGGCATAGACAGTTCCTACTGGTCTCTTTTTATGTTCTACCTTGCACCTCCTGGTTCAAAACACCCTGGTCTAATGAATTATATAGTTATAAAAAAAAAATCATTTCAGGGAGGGGAATGGGTGTGCTCTTACCTAACATGCACAATGTAAGGGTATATGGCACACCTCCTGGTGGAGATGCAGAACTATAACTTGTATTTTACCTAACAAACACAACAGTGTAACCTAATCATATGTACCCTCATATTAATCTGAAAAAATAATCAGTCATTTTGGAGACTGAAATATCACATTCATATCTTATTCTAGAATTAGACTAGTTTACCAAGATTATTATTCAGCTCTTGCTGAAGCTCACAGTATTACCACAAGCATACTCCCTCTACACAAACAATGTGGAAACAAGTAGCAGATCCTAAATTACTTTAAGATTTGGTGAATTAATCCAGCTATTCTGTCTATGGTTTGTGATTAAGAATTAGGATCTATAGAATTAGACTAAAAGTGCAGCATCCTCGCTCATATCAAAAGGTATCATCAGGATATTTTTACCTGGTATCATTTCTTTGGCATTCTCACCAAAGTTTATAATATTATGATTACTATATTGCCCTGGCTAGAAAATTTGTTCTCTCTTATTCCTTTAGAACATGTTTTTCAGCAGCTGTTATCTTTTTATAAATGAAGAGAGAGAGAAAAAAAAAATTACCTCTAATTGTCATCAGTATGTGACATCTAAAATCCAGAACCAAACCTTCCCTAGGGAATAGGCAGATAAGAATACAGTAGGAGGACAATATTACAGAAGATTGAGCCTGAAGTTTGTTCTAGCTTCTCTGTGGATACATAGAATTAAGGCCTCCAGAATTAGGCTAAGAGTATAATTCTTTGATAAATTCGAAGTGTACCAGAATGATCTGGGTTTGGTTTAAAAAACTCTAGGAAAGCTGGGCACGATGGCTCACTCCTGTAATCCTAGCGCTCTGGGAGGCCAAGATGGGTGGATTTTCTCGGCTCATAGGTTCAAGACCAGCTTGAGCCAGAGCAAGACCCTGCCTCTAAAAATAGCTGGGTGCTGTGGTAAGTGCCTGTAGTCCCAGCTATTCAGGAGGCTGAGGCAAGAGAATTGCTTGAGCCTAAAAGTTTGAGGTTGCTGTAAGGTATGACACCATGGCACACTCCTGAGACCTACAGAGCAATACTCTGTGTCAAAAATAAATAAATAAATAAGGGCAGTGCCCGTGGCTCAAAGGAGTAGGGTGCTGGCCCCATATACCGGAGGTGGCAGGTTCAAACCCAGCCCCCGCCAAAAACTGCAAAAAAAAAAAAGAAAGAAAAATAAATAAATAAAAACCTCTGGGGGTGGTGCCTGTGGCTCAGTGAGCAGGGCGCTGGCTCCATATACTGAGGGTGGCGGTTTGAACCCAGCCCTGGCCAAACTGCAACAACAATTAAAAAAAATAGCCTGGCGTTGTGACAGGGGCCTGTAGTCCCAGCTACTTGAGAGGCTGAGGCAAGAGAATTGCCAAAGCTCAAGAGCTGGAGGTTGCTCTTGAGGGCGACAGAGTGAGACTCTGTCTCCAAAAAAAAAACCTCTAGTTTTAGGAGGTTGTAGGATAAATGAAAAGGTTGAAAGTTGTGGGATAAATGAAAAAGAAAAATGTTGCTAATTGTTGAAGCTAGGTAATGGATATCTTGGGATTTATTATACCAGTTTTTTCTTACTGTAGTATATATTTATAAATTTTTATGTTAAAACACATGCACACATGCCTTTAAATGTGCTCTATTAATGTCACCTAGTGTCACTACTCTGGGATTGTCATTGAAGTTTCTTGTAGTGTCACTAGCTCATCATTTCTATTTAGATGAATCAGTTTTGTATTTTTTTAGGATAAATATATTAAACAACCTTCATCTTTTGAGAAGTGGGAGATTTCAAGAGGAGCTGCTTGTCAAGTGCCAATGGTATGTTTCACCTGGTAGTCAAGACCTAGCCCCTATCAAAGATATGTAGAGTAGAATATAGTGAGGAGTAAGTAGCAGAGGGTAAATTGCTTAGGTTTGGGCTCAGGATTGACAGGGTAATGTAGTAACTGCTTCCAGGCTTTAGTGTTAAGGTCAATAATAATAGGCAAAGAATGTAATGTCTTCTTATTTAGTGCTGTATCACACCATTGTGATATCAATCACTGTGAAAAGTACTTTAGGCTTCTTCACTGAAGCTATTATTGACACAGGCGTGATGCTTCTGCTTGGATAATTTATGTTCAGTGTTTATGTTGTCTTTTAGCACAGGAAATGTGGGTGGGCCTCATGTGCTATGACAGATGAAAGATGGAGAAGAGAGGTATTTCCAGAGCACCCTGAATCCAGGATCCAGGCTCTGCCAGAGAACAGGTAGAGCATAGGATAGTAAAGAGTAAGCCACAGAAAGTAATTAGTTAGAATTTAGGCTAATTGACAGAACTATGACACCGATGATGATGATAATGATAATACCATTGTCTCTTACTGATAATTAGCAATAGTATTAATATTATTATGACAGCTTACGTTCATTGAGCACTTACTATAGCCAAAACAGTTTTATAATTTTTTTTTTTTTTTGAGACAGTTTTACTTTGTTGCCTTTGGTAGAGTGCCGTGGCATCACAGCTCACATCAACCTTTAACTCCTGGGCTTAGGCGATTCTCTTGCCTCAGCCTCCCAAGTAGCTGGGACTACAGGTGCCTGCCACAATGCCTGGCTATTTTTTGTTGCAGTTTGGCTGGGGCTGGATTTGAATCTGCCTCCCGGAGTATATGGGGCTGGTGCCCTAGCCACTGAGCTATAGGTGCTGCCCTGTTTTATAATTTTGTATGCATTATTTCACTTAATTGTCATAATAAACATGAGAGATAGATACTATTATCTTTGTTTTTGTAGATGAAATTTAAGATTGCACTGTAAGTAGAGAAAAGATCTACAATGGTGACAAGAAATGTAATGTCTGCTTTTGTGTCACAACAAATTTTAACTATTCTGACCTATTTAGATTGCTTCAGGACTGTACCTGGAGCTTACTGTATTATAAGTTTCCATTCCATTTTGGCATGTTTTTACCAAATTTGTTACTTTCTGTTTTTTTCAATAATAACCATCCTAATAGAGCTGAAATGCCTCATTGTGGTTATGATTTGCATTTCCCTAATGATTAGTGAGCATATTTTCACTTGCCTGTTGGCCATTGTATATCTTCTTAAGAGAAATTCTGTTGAAGGCCTTTGCCTATTTTTTAATCAGGTTGTTTTTTGTTGTTGATTCACAGGAGTTCTGTGTCTATATTCTTGATATTAACTCTTTATCAGATACTTTATTTGCAAATAATTTCTTCCATTTCTTGGGCTGCCTTTTTACTCTGTTAATAGTGTCCTTTGATGTCCAAAAGTTTCAAATTTTGATACTATTCAAATATATCTATTTTTTCTTGTGTTCCTTTTACTTTTGGTATCATGTTTGAATTGCCAAATCCAAATATCATGAAGCTTTTCTCCTATGAGTTTATAGTTTTAGCTTTGATCCATTTTGAGCTAATTTTTATATGTGGGCTATGGGAAGGGGCCACATTCATTCTTTTTTTTTTTT